CAAATAACCAATTAAAAATCTTAAAGAGATTGAAGGAAAATTTCAAAGAACAAGAAGTTTATAGGGATATAAACAGATTAGAAGCTTTCGAAATGTGGCTTTATCGCCGTATCCTAAAAATACCATGGACAGCGAAAATCACAAATATAGATGTCCTTAAAATAATAAACCAAGAACGCCAACTCTTCGAAACCATCAAGAAACGGAAAACGGCGTATCTAGGTCACATCATGCGAAATGAAAAATACCAGTTCCTCCAACTTATAATCGAGGGTAAAATTGAAGGCTAGAGAGGAATGGGACGCAAAAAAATGTCCTGGCTGCGAAACATAAGGCAATGGACAGGGATTAACGACATACAATCTCCGATACATATTGCAAGAAATAGAGAATTAATGGAAAATGTGATCGCTAACATCCCTTAGTGGATTTGCATCTGAAGAAGAAGAAGAAACTTCTTAAGACAGACAACGATAGCTCGATTATATCTCAGCCAATAATTTAATAGATTTGGTAGGAAAGAAAGTCACCAAAACAATGGAAATAAGCTATTATTGTCAAACTTCTAAAGAAGATAGATATTAAGAACTGTAATAACTTGAGAGAAAGTAGCCTACTCTCGGTCTCCATTATCACTTTTACCTTGAGTATAAAAAACAGAGTTAAAGAGTGTGTCGACACCAGATGAAGGAAGGAAAATGCAATCTTCAGTTTACAATGTAGTTCTATGAATCTGATTAATACCTTACGTATAATAATAGATAGTAAGGAGTTTCTAGTATCATTAACATATCTGGTATGTTAAGAACATTTAAAATAGTATGTTTGGAAGATAAATATTATAAGGTACATGTTTGAATGATTTCACTGAATCTTTCATTACGGCAACTCTCAAATGAAATCAACATCAATGGTGGAGTCAGGAAAAACTTCATTATTTTACCCACTTTGTTCTAGTTAGTGCTGGATACTACTATGAGAAAAGTCACAAAAACTGGAGGTGGGAAATTTTGTGAATCTGAAGGTGAATTGATCAAATGTTATTTAAAAAAGATCTAGACTGAAATCCCACAAGCGCAAGAAGGCTAGGTAGACACTGAGGTAAAACAATTAATTCATTTGCTTATTCATTATTACATATAGAGTCATTTCCACTTAAGATCGTTATTATAAGACAGTCCAATCAATAGCTTCTGAATGTTCTCTAGTTTGACTGCAAAATTTCAAATCATTTTATCAAATTTATGTATAAATTAAAATCCATTCCACTACAGTGAATAAAAACGGTTTCTTGTAACAATATCGCGAATTACTTCCGCGGGAACATCATTGTTTTTATATTTACGGTTCGCTGATTTTTTAGTTTTTTGGTTGCTCCATTGTTTAGATTTCTATAACATTTCGTGGCGCAAAAATGTATTTTGAACTAGCTCTAGTTTATATACCTGTAAAACAGTTGTTATAGTTTCTAATTTAACTAAAATCACAATAATACTGAATGTAGTTTTATGATTGACTTTAGTTAAAAAATTGTTTCAAAATAATATGGCTACACAATTTAGTTACTATATTATGACATTTTTCTTAAATTTTTTTATTAATATATGTCTGAAGGATTGTGTCAATACATTAATAAAAAGTTTACGTGAAATTTATAAATAATTATAACGTCTTACTATTTTAAATTGTAATCAAATATTAAATCTGCTATTTTGTTCCTGCCATCATGTGGACAAGGTTTGCGTTTGCAGTATTGTAGCTTTAGTCACAATGACAGCCTCTATGCCATATAGAGAATATTAAATATGTAACATATTAAAGCATGCACATGTTTACGTTAACACTAAAAGTTCTATTGCAAAAAAGTATTTCATTTTCGTACATGAGTTACGTACAATTTCAATTCTAGTTGTTAGTTGCTTTACAAAATCAATATTTGCATTTATTAATGTTCCAAGATATTTCTATTGGTCCAATATTCTGCCCATCAATAATTTAAGCACTAAAGTTCGTCTTCTTCTTCCTCTTTAAATATTAAGCAATTCTGTTTGTTCATTGGTGGATTAATGACTGGTTGCATCAACAGATCTTAAGCTCCAGCTTAGCCCAGCTCCGCTTATACCTAGGGCCGCCCTAACTCTCACTTACGTGGTACGTACTTACGTACTTTTTAGGTACTCTGGCGAGAGGATATGCATAGGATAAGTACAGTATACACGGAGTGTGTGATGGTCCTATATACCCTGGAATGCACACCCCACTACACCCAGACGTTAGGATAAGAAAAAAGGGTAAGATCTGATGCCCAGGCATCAAAGAAAAAAATGTTTTCTGATCTAAATTCCCTTAGATTATACTCTTATGATTCTTTCACTATAACGTTTTAACGTGAAGTAAAGTCACAATCTTAACAATCTTAATATAAAAAGCCCGTCAGGCCTTCTGTATACCGCAACTGCGGACTTGACCCTTAAAGCAGATCAAGTGTACTGATCTATTCGCGAACTCCGAGCATTGGGACCATGTGCGGCATACATGAGCTTGGTGGCCGGACTCTTCTCGGCGGCAAGGAGAACAAAATAATATTTTACCAAATCGGCGGCTGAGTGGCCAGGCACACACTCCTTTCCGGACGTAGAGTCAATAGATCAAGCTTACGCATCTACGGTTGTAACACACGCTTTTTCTTTTATTTTTGTTATGGACTTAAGTCCCGAAGTCAAGTTAGAATAACTTCTATAGAGTCAGTAATCCAAATAGGGAGAAAAGCCTACATGTGGCTACCCCTACAGTTAGAGTGAAAATAGAGGGTGCCTCATTACCCAGGGCACCTTAAGTAACTTACAGATTATAAGCCTCCTCACGTAAGTCACACGATGAGGAGGGTGGAGAAAAAGCCTGGAGGTCAGATAGGTACCACTTAAATTAGTGAAGTGTGACCGGTTTGATCTTTGGACATGTGGATCCCACTCTTACAATGGTATAGACATGTTTTGGATTTGTTTCTATGTTTATTAATGCTCTATCATATGTTACCAACAAAAAGTCATTAAGTATACATTACAGTAAATGACCATCTACTTTTCTTGAAAAAGATCACTGCATATCTCTATCAACCAATTTCATAATCTACATTATATGGGATTTTCTATATTATATGGCTGATTATAATAGTTGTTGACCTTTTCTTGCAAAAGTGCAACAAACAATAAACACTAGCAAAGCTGTAATTTAGTGAAATGTGTACTTAAAGAATTTTTCTTGTCATCAGACGATACATAGTTTTTTTCCGAATTTAAATATTGATTATATCTTAAGAAGTAACTCTCATTATTTTATTTATTTTAGAGTGTAACAGATACAGGTGAAAATAAAAAAAAATTTGTGTATGATTCGTAGGCTGAGCTTAAGGCACGTCTTAAGCTTAAGATGTGTTGGTGCAACCAGGCATAATATCTCTAAGGAAGGTTGTCATTTTTTGCGCAGTCGTCCGATACTTTTGTCGATTGGTAACTCATTTCTTGCTATTTTGACGACATCATTCTCTTTCGATTTTTAACTGTAATTCTTCTCAGTATTTACATCTCTGTCGTTTCCAGTAGCCTTTGTGTTATGGCTCCATTATTGGTCTTACACTGGCTTTATAAATTCTTGACTTCATCTCTGTGTTAATGTGCCTGTTTCGTTATATAGTGTTACTAAGGCATCCTGCCATCCATTTGCTTTTTGTACTTGATCTTTCACTTCTTATCCAGGTCTCCATAGTTGAACAGTGTAATATCAAGGTATTTTATTTCCATTACCTGTTTAATACTTATACCATCAATTTCTATTTTAGAGCTGGTTGGTTTTTTGCTAATTACTATTGTTTTAGTTTTCATTTTTATTAGCAATAAAGTTGAGCATTATTATTTATTTATCCATATCTTAAGTTTTTAATATGGATTCCGTTTACTAGAACGCCAGCTATTTCGTTGACCAGTACCTCTTGCAGAATCATTTCTGAGTGCGCAAGCTAAACAGCACCATAGAAAAAATGCAACATTGCCGTTAATTTTGATATTTACCGATTTTGTTTTACCTATCGTTACGCCTTGAACTGAATCTCTCTTTCTCCTTCCTTACCTGCGGGAGCCACGTGCTTATATCCTTTTCTGTCTGGTAGTGAGCTGATACTTGGTCGAGGTAGTGATCAAGAGAGATATTAAACAAAGAGTGGAAACGTTTGGACTGAAGATTTCGATGAGGGTACAATGTAGGAAGAGTATTACCAGAGGAAAGTTTAATGTAAGACGCGAAGGAGAGGAACGTGTATTTCTAAAATCATCGCATTAACTTTTTTATAAGGGAACAAAAAAAATAATAGGTTTGTTAATGCAAAATGTCCTCTTTGATGAATAGCTTTTAAAAAATAGTTCCAAAGAGAATGGATATGGGTGAGTCCAGATGAGTTATTAATGCAGTTAAATCAGGAGGAGAGACACTATTAAAAGCATTAACACAGTTAAGAATATAACTAATGTCTTTCAATAGAAGTTAATGGTCTTAGTAGAATAAAGCTGTTGTAGTAGTCATGCACCTCCTATGCGGGGTACGGGTCACCAAAGAAGAATATCTTTGTTTCTCCTGATTTTTGTAAAAGGCGACTGAATGGAGCAGCACTGTCCTTAACCCAGATTCATATTTCCTAACCACTAACCCTAAAAGTCAGAATTTATAAAACAGTCATCAGACCAATATTGATATAGACTACTACCAAAAAGATTGCTATAACCAGCAGTGATAGACCAGCCTACATGAAAAGCAAGAGAAAAAGAAGAAGAAAATTAATACGATATAGATACAGTGGATAATTTCATGTAAGAAATCGTCCTCGTATGCATTTTTATAAGAGAAACTAACATTTGTGTCAATTGTAAACAAATACTTTCACTACTTCTGTAAAGACTACTAACCTGAATATGATTAACAATTTATTGTACTAACAATTAAATACTTACAATAACTATGGCCGATGCTAATTCTGCTACCACCGCCGCTAGTTCTGCCACCACCACCCCCACCAAATCTACCGCATTCAATCACAAAAAGTTGCGTTAAAACCAATATCACAAAAAAACCTGCCCTCGGAAACATTTTCAGTAGATTTTATAGCTACACGAAGTGTTTTATATTTATTATTATCCTAAAGGTTTAATAAACATTTCGTTTAAAAACAGAAATAAATTGAACGGTGATGTTTATAAACTAATGTAGACTAGCTGCCGCAACAAGTTACCTACAACTTGTGAAATTAGTGAAATTACCTTGCGAAGAGCATAGTTGCCAGGTGTTTACGTAATTATTTAAAAACAATTATGTTTATTATGCGAAGATTTTGCAAGTGTATCTGGTGAGGTGTTTTTTCCAAAAACTTCATGAATTACATTTCAGAAGTAAATAATATTGTTCTAAATAGTGCAACGTCTGCCATTCTTTATTTATTTTATATAATGTCGTCCGAACCACTGAGACGAAGCAAGGGCAGATGAAGGACCGATTTTCGGAGGGGTGAGGGCGTCGAGCAATAAGTCAAAAGAGGGAATCTAATCCTTATGGAAAGGAGACCAAAAAAGTGGCCTCTGATGGCGGACATATCCGGAAATGCAAAGGCGCTAAATTTAAATTTTCTGACACTTATTAAGAATAGCTATAAAATATTTTTCAGATGAGAAAGTTTTAATTAAATATTAACGATAATAGTCTAAAATATGACACAATTGGTAAAAAACTTCAATATAAATTAAATTTCATGTGACAGTTGCGACAAACAATAACATAACCCAACTAAATTTGATGTCAAACAAGGAGAGAGACTCTCTTTCCTTGTTTAAAGTGGCCTCTAAAGATCGCACTTCCTGTCTAACAATATGTTTGCCCCCACTACCTTTACATTCCCTCTTTCATCTTTTTGCTCGATGGGTGAGGGCCATGAACTTTTAAGGCACTTTTCATACACTTTTAAGTGCCATAAAAACTTACCGTTATTAAAATATTTTTAATTGTCTAGCAATGAAAAATCAGCAAATTTTAACCATAAAGTCAAACAAATGCAAAGAAAGAAATGTAGTTTAGTTTCTATTTATCTATCTATAGCCCAAAATCTATTCATGTGTTGAATATAGGCCTCTCCCATTTGTTTCCATTTGTCTCTGTCTTCTGTTTGTCTTTTTCACATTGGACCTGCGCTTTGCTCAATGTCATCTTTCCATCTCATTTGCGGTCGACCTCTTGACCTTTTTGCAGTATATGGTCTCCAGCGGCCAATTTCTTTATTCCATCTTTCATCCTGATATCTTTCATTATGCCCAGCCCATTTCCATTTTAATTTCAATGCATGTTTGACAGCCTCTGTTGTTTCGGTTTGGCATCTTATCCACTCGTTCCTCTTTTTATCTCTCAACGATATTCCCAACATTTGTCTTTCCATAGCTTTTTGATGTACTCATCATGATCATAAAGTGTACTGAAGTCGTAAGAAACTTCCAAATATGCTTAGATCGTAAAATATCAGAACATCCCAGAAGTGAGGTATATCCCACTGAACTTAACACAAATTGGGAGTTTATGAAAACCACGCTCAAAGAGACCGCAGAGGAAGTGCTGGGTGAAGTACCCAAAGGACAGCGAAACAACTGGTTTGATGAGGAATGCCAACGAGTAACGAAAGAGAAGAACGACGCGTATTTGAAAATGATCAACAGAAAGACTAGGAGCAATGTTGAAGAATATCGAGTAAAGAGACGAGAGGAAAAACAAAAACACAAACAGAAAAAGCGGCAACAAATCAATAAAGAGTTCGAAGAAATGGAAAACCTTAATAGAAACACGAATACAGAAAATTTTACAAACAGGTTAACACAAAAAGAAAAGTTTTCAAGCCACAAGCGAATCAAGTCAAGGCCCTTAACGGAATTCTTTTAAACCAGAGAGTGGAAGTACTAAAAAGATGGCAGGAACATTTTAGTACGCTACTTAATGGAGAAAGTAGAGCTGAAGGTAGATATGATATGGAGATAGAACAGGAGGATACTGTACTACCAAATTTGGAAGAAATAAACAAAGCAATTCAGTCTCTAGCCAGAAACAAGTCACCCGGAGCAGACAACCTACCCGCAAAAATACTTAAATGTGGCGGTCAAACATTTATAACCCTCCTTCACAAACTACTTATACAGGTATGGCAAGAACGCGCGTTACCAGAAGATTGGAATACTGGAATTATATGCCTCATACACAAAAAAAGAAACGTTCTTGAATGTTCCAACTTTAGAGGGATTTCCCTTCTTAATGCAGCATACAAAATTGTGTCCCTGATACTTAACGAACGACTGGCACAGTATACTGACAATATAATAGGATCCTAGCAAAGAAGCTTCTAGAAAAACAAATCTACCATTGATCACATATCATCCATCAGACAAATATTAGAAAAAATTCTGCTACTTAGGATCACTGGTAGACTACAAAAATAACACATCCAACGAGATAAAAAAAAAGAATATGCGTAGCTAACCGCTGTAATTTCGGCCTGGGCCCTCAACTTAGAGCGAGAAGTATGTCAATAGCAACAAAGTGCAAACTTTATAAAATAATAATACGACCAGTGCTCACATACGGATCAGAAACATGGGAAATGACGACCCGAGATGAAGACTTACTACGAGTCTTTAAAAGAAAAGTATTGAGGACCATATATGGCGGAGTAAACGAACAGGGTCTGTGGAGAAGGCGATATAACTTTGAACTCTATAGACTTTTTGGTGATGCAGATATTGTAAAGACCCTCAAAATAAACAGCCTAAGGTGGGTGGGCCACGTTATGCGGATGGATGAAAGTGATCCCACTAAAATAACTATGCTAAACAGGCCGGTCGGAAGAAGAAGAAGGGGGCGACCTAAACTCAGATATCTGGACGATGTAGAGGAAGATCTGAGGCAGATTGGAGTGAGGGGCTGGAGAAGACAGACACTCGATAGGGAAGGATGGAAGAATGTTTTGAAGCAGGCCAAGGCTCACGAAGGGCTGTAGCGCCAACTGATGATGATAGCTCTTTGAGTTTTCTTTATTCTATCTAAGTTGCTCTTGGTACACGTCCATGTCCGGGCACCATATGTCAGAACAGGTAGGACGCATGCATTAAATACCTTCGTTCTTAATTTTAAAGGTATTTTTTGGTTTTTGATAGTATATTTTGAGAGTTTTCCGAATGCAGCCCACCCCATTCTTATTCTTCTGGTTATTTCTTTAGTCTGGTTACTTTTGTCTGCTCTGATAGCTTGTCCTAAGTAAATATATTCTTGGACGTGTTCTATGTTTGTTTCACCTATGGTAATTACTTATCTGTCTTCTGTATTAATCATTATCTTAGTTTTCTTTAGATTCATTTTTACTCCTTTCTCGAGAAATGTTTTTTCTAGGTCTAAAATCATTATTCGTAGTAGTTCCATAGTTGTTGCTATCAGAAGTACATCATCGGCGAATCTTAGATGATTTAAATATTTCCCATTTATACAAATCCCTTTATTGTCCCAGTCTATAGATTTACAGATGTCTTCCAATGCCAGAGTAAAGAGTTTGGGTGAGATTGTATCCCCTTGTCTGACACCTCTACAAATTCTAATTAATGGAGTTTGCAAATCTCTGTCTAGCTGAATTCTCATAGTGGCGTTTTGATATATATTGTGGATTAACATTTTGTACCGTGAATCTATTCAGCAATTAACTAGCGCTTCTTCCACTGTCCATAGTTCTATGCTGTCAAACGCTTTTTCATAGTCAACAAACGATAGGTATATTGGAAAGTTGTATTGAAGCTAGCTTAGTGGTAATGTTAATTTTAGTATATCAATCAGTGCTATCATTGACACTAGAAACTCAGAAATGCATAAAGAATTAAGCAAAGTTGATGCAAATGTAGTAGTCTTGAGATCCTTTCAGGTTGAGACAGATTGTAGTGCTTCAATTATATGTAAAATGCCAGATCTGAACAGGATTACGCTTTCATGACGTTCAACCCATCTTTTTTTGAATAAACTTGTTGAATTTTGTCCGAGTTTCAGTTTTAAAACTTCATTTCTCTTGGCTGATATGTTAAAAAATGATATTGCTGACTTCATTGTTCTCACTGTATTTGTAAAGAACTATACATTAATAGAAGTTAAAAGGGAGTTATTTCAAATATGATTTAGGCAAAAGGAATGTGAATGCTATCGGAAATATATACAAAAAATGCAAGAAGTGTCGTTAAAGAAAGAAACTTTATATCTGAATCATTTCCAATAAAAAAAAAAGGGGCTTAAACAAGGATGTTGTCTATCTCCGACCTTATTTATAACCTATCTGGATATCTATAACCTATTATAAGTATCTGGAATGGGAATAGACATAAGCGGTGGCAAATGTCTAACAACTTTATTTTTCGCAGATGATCAGGTAGTCGTAGCGAATGATGAGGAAGACATGGACTACATGTTTAGAAAACTAAAGAAAGAATATGAAAAATTGGGCCTCAATATGAATATGTCAAATACAGACTATGTTGAAATAGAAAATGATGAAGAAGATCCAGGGTTAGAAATTAGAAACACAAAAACATGCAATGTATATAAATATGTCGAATCTATGTTCGTAGTTCTCTGTCTATAATATCCAAAGAAGGCACTACAAAAAAGACATTGAAAACAGAACGCAGCAGGAAAAAAAAAGCGGTTAACATTCTAAACTTTCTACTATGGTTTATTTCAGTTTGTCTAATTACACAATTGTTTATGTTTAAATTTTTGTCTAATTTAACTTAGTTTTTGTTGAAATTTTGTAGTTTCTGTTGATTTTTATATTTCTTCTAGCTCCCGAAGCTAATTTTTAATAACGTTATGTAAATATTTTTTAATAAAACACAAACAATAATAAATAATAATGTTTTAGCTTTTGTATCTTATTTTTAAATAGTTTCATATCCAGTCATATCAAACCCTGATTTCATCAATGTTTCAAGATATTAAAAAAGAAAACTAGAACTATGAAGAAAGGAAAAATGAAATGTAGACATACAGGAAGTTTTCTTAAGGATGTCAAATTAATATATCATTAGTCATTGATTAAAAACCTTATCAAAAGTTAAAAAACAAACAAATAATGCATAAAGCCGCCATGTTTAGCAAACATGATGTAGCAAAAGAAAATCTTTAAACAACTAGTCAACTCGATATATTTTTACATGATATTGCTTTAAATAATATA